AATATACATCAATATTGAAGACTCATAATAATTAACACTGGTCTGAAAGTTTCATTGTAGTACATAAGTTGCTCAGATGAGTATTTTTAAATCTTTATTTTTTATATGCTGAGGATATTCTTCATTTGATGATATAATAATCTAAGATTTCAGTCAGACCTTTCCCATGTATAATATAGCACATGACTTTGCATTTATGAGACTAAACTAGATACATGCAGACATTGCTACAGAGTAGGTATTCCACAGGGAGACATCCTATAGGCATGGAAGTGATGCTTTTTTGATGATGAAGTCCTTCCCCAACATGATGGAACATTCATCATTCACTGATGTTCCTTTTCTTATATCCATGCAATTAATGGGGTTTGGGAGTAGTGGTTAGCAATACCTCGTGCTTTTAGTTTGTTATGATCAGCTGAAGAGGTGAAACAGTACCCTGTTTGAAGCTCAGTCACATGAAAGTCTTGTATTTTTATACCACATTCTGGAGCAGTATGTTCAGATTGATGTAACAGCATTGTCACTGTTTTCAGTAAATAAAGTGGTATGAAATCCTTTTGTTAGTAGATAAATGGCCAACTTCTCATCTATCACCATATCTTCTAGCAGTCAGTCCTAAAAGTTTCTAGAAAATCAAAATGGAGTGTATTCCTGAATGATGAGTAAGAAATCGGGGAGTCAGACTTTTTAGCATTTGTAATAGAGAAGTCTCCAACGACTGACCTCTTACATGACACATAAAGAAGTGACAATTTCACTGCTTTGGGTATGCAGAAGCTCAGTTATGGCATTCCCTTTGATTACTTTGTCCCATGATCACAAAGGCTCCTAAGTATCTCACTACCCATCCCTCTGATTTCACAAGCCTTGTGCCATGTTTGGGAAGGAGGAACTAACTTGGCCAAAGGTTAATATTTAAAGAAATAAGTTTCCCCCACCAAGTGACTGAGAGGAAATTAATCAAAGGCAGAGTAAGAAAATGGAGTTTTAAAAAAGTGTATACTATTAAGAAAGGTCATTGTTGTGCATATTCTCTTCAAGTGCTTAATTTATATCAGTCCAGTCAGGTATATGTTGTTGACTGTTTAGGAATAACAGTAATAATTTAATTAAAGATAGTTTTAGGCATATAATTAAAGTCTTTTCAAATACATTTTCTATGAGTTAATTTCTAGGTTTAATTTGATGGTTATGTTGGCCATCTATAGCTCCAGGGGTGTCTTTCAGTAGCACAGGATTTCTAGGGCACAAGGATTTTTTTGCCGTATGTCTTTTTCCAGAGTCATATCATCTTTGCTGAAAGGTAATTAATTTGTTGTATGGAAATCTCTGTTGGCCAAGTGCCACCTAGAGGTTTCTTACTGTATTTTCTGCTGATTTTTAGTCTCCTTCATTCTGAAGTTCCATGACAAAGGAGAGTGCTAATAGAAGGGCTCCAACTCACCCTGTGAGTGGATACACAGAGGGAGCATGCATACAGCATGGCCCTGGGAATTGCAAACCCCATGTTCTGCTTGAACTCTCATTGGCTACTGTGTGCCTATACTGTACTGTTACAGCAACAGCACCTACTCCCTGTTTGTCCCTGTTTACTAATCCAAGTGTCAATGCCACAATGTGTATTCCTCATCCAGGTACACTACCCAAATAAGGACTGAGTGCTCTGTATTTATCTTGCAAGAATATTGTTAAATTTTCTTTAAAAGCTTTAGAAAATAAGAAAGATGCTTTCAAAAGTCTGTGAAAAAAAAAAGATACGTAGTTGCGCAGTATTCTGAGATCTGAATAAGCTAAACAGAACTTAAGTGATCCTGATTCTCCACTTAAACTTCTCTGTACTAAGTATGTTCTTTTAGGTCTGAGCATGATTTCTGTAAAAATCATGTTAAGTTTTAAGAGATGTCCGATGCTGCAGAAGAATAATGGGCAGTTTCTCTCCTCCTCTTTTGGGCAGTTTTGGTATGAATCATGATGGAATTGGAAATTCCTGTGGGACCAAAGGTCATGAAGCAGCAAAGCTAATGGCAGCTCATATTACAGCAAACACCAACCCTTTCTCTTGGTCAGCCTGCAGTCGGGATTACATCACCAGTTTTTTAGAGTAAGTAATCTCTCAAGAAAAATCATTATTTGTTACAAAACTGCACACCTTTCAGAATAAACAGTAGAGAGATAGTGACCTGTTCTGGTTTACATTTTTAGAATGAACAGATAGAAGTATAGCAAGTTACTTAAGGCTTTTATATTGTAGAGTCCTTTTCCTATGTAATGGCAAAAGCTTCTTCTGCTCCATTCCCCCACCTTACAGTTCTCATTTTTAATCTATTTAAAACATTATACAGAAGGGGCAAATTTGTCTATGAATGATGGGAAGTATTTTTTTTTAATACATACATAACGTGATGGAATCGAATGAAAGGAACAAGGTTCTAGCCCTGTTCCTTGTACATTTCGTTCTCCTGATTTTTTAATGCATTCTTGTGGGGTTTTTTTAATCAATGTTCTTTGGTACCTTTAGCAAGAATATAAAGATCATAGGAGAAGATGGCATAGATCTTTATATTAATACCTTAAAATTGTGCTAACCTATTGTTGACTGTCAGTCCAGGCGCGTTTAATATATTAAACTGTTATGGTTCTGGATACACTAATAGCAGACTGCACCTTCAGCCCAGTCGTACTCATGAACTAACACGGCCTCGCTTTGGTCACGTTCAATGAGAAAACCCAAACGACTCGCTGCCTACACAGTGCAGTTTATTTAAACAACAGATACACAAGTTCTTTTGGATTGCCAGTGATAGGGACTGTCTGCAAAGCACGTGCAAATACTAAAGATGCTAGCAATATAGCTCGGTTACAAATGCCTAAGTTATAAAACCACTCTATATAGAGATTTCTAAGTTTCCCGGGGAAGCACTTGGTATAGCCAAGTGTTTGAATCTTACCCACAAGCGTCCTTATGGGGGGGAAGAGAGGCTCAGCCTGTCGACTGGTCCCAGAAGTCCACGATGGTGTCTTCCCTCACATCCCCCTTTTCTTGTGCTATTTATATACTATTTTTTATCTTCAAGGTGGAGTTTGAGTGACTCTAGTCATAAATACTTTCATTATGTGTTTTGGTATTATAATGACATTATAATGAGCAAAGTTCACTAAAGGACAGCATTTTGTCAAAAAAGTGACAGATTGTTGGCTCAGGGTAACAAGTAGACAGTTTATCAGTTCTATAAGACCTTCCAGGGCTCTATTTGGTCCCCAAGTCCCCAGTTTATCACAGGGTTTTATCTGCAGTGTCTCCACTCTGTCCCATCATTCACACTGTTTTTCTTCCGTGGTGCCATCTTGTTCCCATGTTTGCTGGATTATCATGGGGTTTGGCCTTGGAGTCTCCACTCCACTCCACTCCCCGTGTTGCTTTGCAAGCAATAGTGTACAGGGAGTCACAGATGTAGCGGATTCTTCACATACCAGCTGCGGCTGTATTTTACCCTAGGAGCCTTTTGATTTTATACCTTTCCTTAATGTGTGACCAACGCTGTATTATCAATCATTTTTAGTAATCATTCCACACCTATACTTTTGTGGTGATTTTTATCCAGAAATAGATTGCTACCTGGATTTTACTTCTGTATGAAAAAATTAAAAGTCAAAATATGTTAGTCTCAAAAATGTGCTCATATCAATATACATTGGTATACATGATACATAATGAAGCCTTTGCATGTGTTTTAAGTTGTGGAAGACACACAGAACTGTTAGTTCACTGAGAACATGTTAATAACAGGATTTTGTAAGATTTTTGATGTGTGTAAGATGGGCTTTATGGGAGCAAATGGCAGTTGGATGGTAGGTTCAGTGTCATCAGTGCAATCGTTCCTTTTAGAAATAAAGGTTGTTCAATAATTCAGACACTGTGTTTTAGGAGATGAACTTAAACCAGTCAAGTGGTCTAACCACTAGACTACTAAGAACAAAATGGGCTTCTCCTCCTCTTTCAGGGATCTAACCTCAGAATAAGGTATTCTGAATCTTACCTGAAGGAACCCATCCAGACCAATAAACTTTCTTTAGATTGGTTCAAATGTAGCTTCCCACACAATGTACAGGAGCACTGAATTGTTCTGAAGAGGTTTTTGAGCTCCCTATAGTCAGTGGGCAGACAGACATTTCATGTTGGTGTTAGGTACTGTTCAGAGGAAAATACTTCTCAGTTTCTGTATCAGGTTAAGACATTTTGTATCACCCCAGTGAACTATGCACCCACCCGATTTTATGTACTTGAGTGTTTAAGATGAGTGTCTAAACTAAAGCACACTGAATAAGTCATCCTACATGTATGTGTGATACAGGTTTCTCACAATATACGTTGATTTTTTTCAGGAGAGAGATATATGTATTCATTTAACCCTAGCATTATTAAAAAAAAATACTGGCTAGACTTGTTTCATCATTGCCAATCATTTCTGTTAATTCAACACTGTTCCCATTAGTAGTCTTTGTAATATCTCATGCAACCTAGTATTAACTATGACAAAGAATAGGGTTTTCACATCTCTTCTGAGAGATTATTTTGCAGCTTGGTAGTTCTGACTGTCAGCTTACAGTTCAGGTATTTTCTTGTAACATTTGGGGGTTTGTTTCTTACTGTTTCAGTTCTGCTCTTCTCTGTCTCATCTTACTTCTACTTGTTGCTCTCTTCTGAACTCCATTTTGAACTCATAATTGTCCTGAAAATAAGTTGTCTATTGATGAAGATGTAATTCCACAGGTAGCTAAGCAGTCATTTCTTATTTATGGCTTTTAAGAAAGAAATGGGCTAAAATCCTGTGGCTTGTATTATGCTGTTTGCAAATGTAATAGACCTTAATATTTGTTCACAAAGTTCCCGCACAGTTTTAAATTTCAGTCTGAACAAACTTTCTCGTTTCGTTACTTGATATGTATGCTGTGATCTTTCAATTTTTTACTGTCAGTTAAAAAATGTTTAGCCTGTGCCTCATCTATTTTATGTTTAAATGTTTTTATTAATTTTATTTTTTACTTTTAGCATTTCCATTATTCATTTCCATTCCCCAGGCTTGATTCACTATTAAGTTTCATTTTTAAGTCTGGGGAATGCCACTGAAATTGTAGTTATATTAGCATAAAACCAGAATAGTACTCTGGTGAATCTATTCCCGTAGTTCTAATCTCTTCAGGTTCTTTGAGATACTTCTTTATCATTGCCAGTGTTTGCAACTCTACTTGAATTACTACCATCTGTGAATTTCATAAAAAATCATGACTGAAGATACTAGGTGATATTTGAGCTAAGTAAAAATTCCCCTAGAAATAGCAGCTCCAATAATAAATTATCTTTTATAATATTTTAGCTATATTATTGTAACCTAGAATGTAGATGTTATTTTTTTCAAAGCCACCTTGGATAAACATTCTTCTACACATTGCAATTATGAATAGATTTTCCAATTGTATAGGATACTGTGTTAAATAACATACTAAGAGCCAAAGATAACTTCTTCATCTACTAATTTTGCAATCTATCATTAAAAATATCAGATTTCTCAAACATGATCTGTTCATTATAAATCCATGCTTCTTATTTTTTTGTGGTTCTAATATTCTATAAATGAATTGATACTTTTTTCTTAAAATAATTGTTTTATTATTTCACAAAGTAGAATAGTCTGTAAAACTGTAGTTTTTTTTCTCGTTTCTAGTCTTCTCCCCAGTTTTTCATGATATCTCCTCAATGGCAGCAGGAAGCTGTTAAGATAGAGTTACACAGGTACCTGAAGGACAGCTGTCAGAAGCCTAGATCACTTCTTTTTTACCCATTCACACCTTTCCTTGAGGCAGAACAGCTTTAAGAGCAGAGGCTTTTCTGTTGCAGGCAATGATCAGTGAACAAGAAGCAAAGAAAAATTCAGAGTTTCGTGTGGTAGCAATTCCCTGACTGCTCCTATAAATAGCAGAACAGTCTGCATTCAGACAGGAAAAATGATTCCATTTTTATTTCTAATGCTTCTTCACAACTTAGAAACAGATGATGAAGATGCTGATTTAGAGCTTTAGAGGCTGTTATCTGTGTCTGCAGATGTTTATTCCAGATAGATTAGACTTTGCCCCTTTTCTTGCCATTTTTCCTCAAGAATGGGAAAACAGCTGGGACAGGACCCACTAGACCACAAACAAGGAGGATAAGTGTTTTTTTCTGTGCTTAGTGAGTATGGCTATTTTAAGATTCATTTAGCTATGTCTAATAGAAGGATAGAGCATGATGGGATGAAATGCAAATACCCAAGCGGAAAGCTGAGGCCATGAGTCTGTATGACACATCACCTTTTAAATTTATCGGCTTGGATCTGGATATAGGTTTGTGCAGGCTTGTCATCGCACCAAGATAATGCAGCTGGAATGCATTCGGCTAGAACCTCATTAAGTGTTCATAGTATTATATGGTAAGGTAGATTCATGTGGATTTACCAATTTACTCACTTGGGTCACCGGCTACAGGAGTTTTGCACTGTGTGCCATTTTGTAGTGTAGATACCACACTGTCCTTTCTCATCAGGCAGAAGATTTTTGAAAAAGAAGTCATCCTGGTGATATTCAAAGTTGAGCCTCAGCTTCACCCTCCTCTTTCTCATGACTTTCTAAAAACTACACCCAAAACCAAATTTTCCAGACTGATGGTACTGAGGAACAGCCATTAAATATCAGTTGGAAGGTATCAATTCAGTCAGACACTAGTTGGGAAAACAATTTATTTTGCGGGAAGGCCGGATAGAGGATGAATATGGCTTTAAGGGTGGAATAAATACAAAGCAAAGCTATGTATTTCTAATAGATTATTCAGAACTCCCAAGAAGGATGACCTCTCAGCATAGGCTTCGAAATGGCCAAGGAAATCCATTTTTTTCCTGGTGAAAACTTTCCTTCTAGCACATAATAGTTGTTGTGTGTCAAGCTTTATGTTAAAGATTGACTGAATTATGATGAAAATCCTGTCATTAGAGCAGAACAGGCATAGTTTTGTATTTGCTACAAGGATTTTGACTTACATTTGTGCAATTATATGTCTTGTAGAGTAGGTACAGACTTTAATTTACAGGTTCGGTGCACTTAAAGATTTAGATCTGATTCTGTAATCCAATCTGTTCAGGGGTCCATATGCCTATAGAGAGAGTCATCAAAGGTAATAAGAGTTTTTAAATGCTGTGCCCTTGGCTGTCTGTTTCCAGGATCATAGTTTACAGATCAACCTGTACACTATTGGAATATATGGAAATATTCCCATCATATGCAGTATGAGCTCAAGCTGATGTCAAATGGTAAACTTCCCACTGCTCGTTTAAGCAAATTTCCTATCTGCAGTTTGATCCAAGCAATATAGAAAGATCAGATTGCATTTGAGTTATTTCCATATTGGAATTATTAACATGTACTTCTCATACACACAAAATACGACACTGAAATATTTAGATTCAAAAGAACGTAGGATAGTTTCCCAGCTTCTGCTACTAGAAAATATATATGCTTGCAATAAATAAAACTGGAATAAAGGGGCAAGTACTTTTTTTTTTAATACCAGAACCACACATGTGATATTTTAAAGGTAGATTTCAACTGAATTGGGGGTGGGGGTGGGGTGGTGTTACGTGCAGGTGAATCACATTAAATTCATTTAGATTAGTAACTGAGTATCATATTTTTTCCTGTATTTACCTGCTTATTGCCTTAGTTGCTGTTTGCATTCTTCTGAAATGGTTAGCAGTTGTTTGTTTCTTTGTTTTTCCAAAGGCTTTGAAATGAATAAAATAGGGTTAAAATGAGAACATAAAATGTATAGTTAAAATGGGCTTTTTTGCTCTTTTTTATCTACAAATAAAAAGTATAGAAAATTGGAGATCTCCAAGAAACAGTGTAGAACATTCACTTCTGAAATTATGTTCCCTTGGCAAGGTGCATGGAAAAGATTTTGAAAAAAAAAGGGCTGGAAAAATTTGTAGGAATGTCAGAAAAAAATGTAAAGTGTTGGCATAAGAATTCTTTAAAAATCCTCACATGTGGAATTAAACTAAAAAAACATCTGTCCTCTTTTATATGCACACTGACTAAATAAAATTGATTATATTTAGCAAATTACAAAGTTTTCTAAACAGAAGAACTCTGTGTGCCTTTGGCTTTCTTTGTTATTTGTTCTACTACACTAAAATATTGTGGTTGAATATGGGCATATTTTGAACAAAAAAACAAAAATCCCACCAAACAAAACAGTGAAAAGAAGAGAATATTCAAGTCTTCAAAGATTATGATCTTAGTTTTAACATGAATTTTTGAAGAATAAAGATTATTAATACAATAGAAAAGATCATTGGACCCATACAAATTTTGTCACTCACCCAAGTATAGGTAAATTTGAAGATCCATGAGAATTTTTACCACTGTAACTATTTTGTATGTTAAGGTCCTAATCCTATAAACATTTAGTCATGTTGAAATTTAAATGTTTTTTAATTTTATATAAACCAGTTGAGCTGTTCATATCTATAAGATTGTACTTAGCTTTTTGAAGAATCAGAAGGGTCATTAAGAATTGTAAATTTAATTGTTTAATTTGTTTATTTTTTATTCTATGACCAAATGTAGCTATTCTTCAGTGAAAGCAAATAGGAATCTTAAAACAAAAATGAAAATCAGTCTTGTGGGGCTCAGAAGTTATTGTGCTTTTTAAAGGGATAATATATGAAATGTATTTCACTATCTAAAATAAGCATTTTTTTAATATAATAGAATACCAGGTTGGAAGGGACATCAAGGATCATCTGGTCCAACTTTTCTTGGTAAAAGCATGGTCTCGACAAGATGGCCCAGCACCCTGTCCAGCTGAATCTTAAAAGTGTCCAATGTTGGGGAAAATAATGAAATTATTTTAATCTCTTAATTCCCTCTAATTATTTTTTGTCTTTGCTATGGGTGTACCATCTTACTGTTTGTTTACTGCAATCATATTTGTTTCACACCCAGTGCTGTTTAAAGTAAGAACTAGATACATGATATCGTTACTGTGATTTACAGTCAGTAGAATTCCTAATTCCTTTGGTCCTTTATGTTGAACAGTTCAGGCCGTGGTACTTGCCTTGATAATGAGCCTCCCAAGCGTGAATTTCTTTATCCAGCTGTGGCCCCAGGTCAGGTGTATGATGCTGATGAACAGTGTCGCTTCCAGTATGGAGCAACATCTCGCCAATGTAAATATGGGGTAAGAAGTCTTAATCCTTATGCTGAGTGTTCTGCTTAGTCATTTGTATATATTCCTTTATAACATAAATCTTTAGTTAGATGCAGTAGTGGGTTACAGATTTCTGATAGCATACTGTCCGGTGCCATCATATGTAAGCAAAGGGTACATTTTAATCCTTATGCTGCATCTTTTGCTTGAGTCACTGTACACCAAAATGTGTAGGTTACAATGAGCTGGAGAAGCATTCTTTAATTTTAGGGAGAAAAAGAAGCCCAGAACACTTGATCCTGCTCCTTGTAAAGTGCACTACAGAATTTTCCCTGATTTCAGTTAAATGAGATCAGGCTCATGTTGTTGTATTAATCTTGAAACATGAAATCTGTTGTGTTGGCTTTAACTTTTCAATTTAAAGCTACAATTTGAAGTTACTTTTGTACTTGTATTGATTTGTCAGGTCTGTTTGGGGTTTTTTGGTTTTTTTTTGCTGGCATTGAGTTTATTGTTTCTCACATTGTTCAGATCTCTCTTTGAAAAGAAGAATAATTGGTTATGGGAACAGAGGAACATGAAGATAGCTGAATAGAATACTGAATAGCTACGTACTATCAAAAGCTTTGGCTGCAATACCAGTGTGCAGTATTTAAGGCAAAGAAATTTACAGTATAAATAAAAACCTGCACATTTAGGCCATTATGCAATAAATTTATAAATATTACTTAAAATCTTGCAGCCCAAAATACGTAGTAAAACAATGCATTCTGCTGTGGTTGTCATCAAATAATCAACTGAGACTAAATTAAATAAACCTTTAAAACATATCTAGTGGTTTAAAAATATATAGTTTTAATAATATTTTAATTATTAGATTATTCAAATAAAACAATGTAAACATCATTGAATTTACTCTATACACTTCTCTAAAGGCTAGCTACAAAGAAAGTCCATTTTTACTATTCTTGTAGTGATAAATACAATATTATTCTTGGCATGCCTCTTTGACAGATCGCATTGTGCAAAGGATTTAAAAGCTGTATGTAGTTGGCTGACTAGCTCACTGGATCTTCTATTCCTGATCCATCATCAAACCTCTTTTGGCCTTTACTTTATTGTTCCTCTTTAAGTTCTCACTTCCCACTACTGTTCTTTAAGGGCACTGTTTCCTGTCACTACATCCAAGGCATACTCCCCTTTTTTTTTTCTTTTTTCTTACAAATTCACACCATGCACGCTCTTTATTTTCAGACTAAAGAAATCTGTAGGTATTTAATTCATGATGTATAGCACAGCCTCTGGAGATATACTGCATTTTAAATTAAACTGGAAAGTTAATAATGTGCAAAACCTAGCTTTTCCACATGTATGTGGGATGGGTTTTTTTGTTTGTTTTCTTTTCTCTTCAAACTGTTAATCTATGCAATCATTGCTGCGATGATCATGCTGCACAGTACACTTCTGTTCTTAAACCAGTTTCTAAAATGCAAACAGTTGGAAGTAATGAAGATGTAGATAATCTTGCCTTTATGTGTTCTGCTTGCTTTTTGTTTTAAAATTTTTGTTGGGATTCCCTTATAGCTACAAAAAAGAGGTTGACATTTAATTGAGGCAACAGTTAAAGGAAGTTAAGTCTTCATGTGACATTACCAGTCCTCTGAATTGATATAGTGTATTGTATTCCATCAGTGTGCCATCAGTGTGAGCATGACTTACAAGTGTTTCTGACAAAACCACCCTATTTTTAATAATAAGATTCTGACTGTATATATTTATATAACAGATTATTGTATAACTCTGGTAATATCCACTCTAAGAAATTATATGCATTTAAAATAATGTCTACATTTAAAAATATTATCTCCCATGGCCATAATGCTCTGAAAATGCCATCATGATGATTATGATCATAGAGATTTCAAGTGATAATTTTGAAAGGAAAAAAAAAATCTTTGCAAGCTGATAGTGCAGATGGAAATTATCCACACAAGAAAGACCTATTAGTATATGAAAGGGGTTTTAGAACTGAGTAGCGGAACTAGATCTAAATACCATGAAAATTTAAGTTGAATACTCTGTTCTACACTTTCAATATCAAAAGTAAACAGTCAGTGTTTTGGATGTTCCTTTTTGATGTACTATACACATGAAGATGCCATTAGTAGTTCATTGATCTTATTCTAACAGACACATGAATGGAAAAATGGTAAAAATCCCTAATTGACGGGGGACCTAATTCGTATACTAACTCCTTTCTAGCACTTCTTTCAGCACTTTTTATTTGAAGTGCCTGGTAAAAAAGGGATAGAGCAGGTTTTCCAACGTGGGATTTAGTGACCCAGAAGTAAATAAATTCTAAAACAAAGGGAAATCTCAGAGAGAATTGCTTGCCTTTTTCTCTTGCTCATGTTCTTTACTGAATTGTGATGGCCAGATATGACAAGAGAAACAGTCAAACTCAAATCAAAGACAAAAAAATTACATGTCTTCTTTGGGCTCTGATATAGCTGTCAAGATAGTTGGTGTTTTTAAAGTAACTTTGAAAATCTTCATGTTCTTTCTGCTTTGGAATTCTGTCCTGATGCCTTATTAATCTTTAGAAAAAATACCTGTTTCAACCAACTAGCTTCGATGTTCATCTGTATTCATTGCCTTTTCTCCCATATTTCCTCATCCATTCCCTCTGTATGTATATTTTAAACTGTTGCTTTTAATCAATAAATTAGGTCCTAATCCTGCAAAGAATTTTTCACATTTAAGTACATGAAGCCTTTTTCACTTATGAACTTGAAGTTAAATACCTGGAGCAGTGTTTGAATGATTAAGGCATCAGAACTAAAGTACTAAAGGGACTGCAAGGATCTGCCTTTCTGTGTGTGTGTGTGTTTACTGACAAGGAGCCAATTTGACCTTGAAAAGATCTCTTTGGTAGTTGTACTGATACTGTTGTGAGTACTAGACCTAATTAAACTTTTTAGTCACTTATGGACAAAACTGTTCCAGCAAAAGCATTGTGGCTATTTGTCAGATTTCCCTATATCATTCAGCACATTAAGTTGGACAAGAATTCAAAGAGATGCTTTAGGTCTTTGAGCTAAAATACTAAGACTACATATTTGCAAGAAGACAGTGATCCTTCTAATGTCACATGTGCATTATTCTTTATACTATACTTTCCACCATCTCTGATAAAGGGGCAATTTTAAAGAATTTAAGTGAAGAAAGAGATACTCTGAACAAGGAATTGAGAAGCAATGTCTCAAGATACTTAAAAATATTTCATTTTTAGGGTACACTTTCAAATTCAGGAGAACGTTAAATTTATGACTTCCAGTGAGCCAAATTGTAATGGTGGAAATGTCACCATATAATACTGATGCATAGCTTTTTCTTAAAGGCAATACATGTTTTCAAGTATCTTACTGGATTCACTGCAGTGGGAGATTTTGAACTTATTAGGGACAGTGTTAGTTCCTGTTCTTTTATGTAGGTACGAGATATGCTACATCATCTAGGATGATGCAGTGTGAATTCTCTGCCGATTTTCAGGTGTGGCCCAGTTCTTCTCTGCTCTATTTGTGTGTCAGTTCCCCTGAAAGTTCAGAAACCTTTTATTTAGGTGGGTATAAGGAGAACTTTTTTCATTGTCTCCTTACCTCCTTAACCTTTGAACATCTGCCTAATAACGGTTGGCAGTTGGCTGTCTCTAGATTAACTCAGGAAAGAATTCCAGTCTTGATTTTGAATTTCCCTGGTTTATGAGTTTAAATAATACCTGGAATATGCCCGAGTGTAAGTTACAGATTTTGTGGTTCAAAATAATGCTTTGCTATAGAGCTGATCCCAACATTTTTAGGACAGAGACTAAAACCTCAGACATTTCAATAGCAGTTAATACTCGTCGTGCTTTATGCATATGATTGATATTGCTATGGTGCATTTTATGATCTGTGAAGCTGTTGGCAGCTAGCATGGATTTCAGAGATAGTGCCTAACAATTATATGGTATTTTTTTTTGCATTAAAATGCAAAACCATCATTGGTGTCAGTAAATACTTTGAGTAGAGGGATAAGGGGACAAAGTTTCCTTTCCTTTGCATACATGGCTTCACTGAAATCAGCAGACCCAATCTATTCGTATTTCACACTAGAGTTTAACACATCAGGTAATGTATTTTAGCTGATGACAGGTAGCTCTCTTCTTTGTCATGGTCTTATATTTGCAATTAACGTCTCCAGTTTGCCAACAAAAATAGCTTAAAACTCAAATACCAGTTTTTACTCACAATTTGTGAGAATGACTTGAAGTTGTCATACCTTCACTGCTTCCTAGTTTCCCACATGCCAGTTCAGAGACAGAGTGGTGTAACTGAATTAGAAATGAACAAAACAAAACAGCATCTGCTCAGCTAACTTTTAAATCCAGGAGAGTAAACAAATTGCTATACACAACAGTTCTATAATATTTCTTAGAATATCCTGAATTACAATTGACCCTTGTAATCAGGTGATGCAAATTTTAATGTCAGTGAATTAAACTGTCATTGTTTTAATGAAACAGTGATGTGATTTACTCCAGTTAAATAGAGGTGTTTAGCTTGATGTGGGGCTTTTATAGGAAGGTGAAAGCAGATTCTGAAAGCTGTTTTTTCAAAAAGGAAAGGCAGAGAAGCCACTGGTGTGTATCTTTGCACCAGAACTACCGGTTTCCTTCTGTTCCCTCACCCTTTGATACTATGACTGGGATTGTGCATTCAATTGAATCTGTACATAGTACTTAGTAACTCACTAAAAAGTGACTTTTTTTTCCCTGGCTTCATACTTCATACCATGGTTAAGTCACTTTATACTTGGTCTTTGTTAGCAGAGCATAAGTAGTTTGATCAGACTGATTTATATTATGTTGCTCACAAACTGGTGTTAAGAGTATGTGTGGGCAAAGAGAGGAATTGAAGATCCTGGTGTTATACTCTCATTTTTATCAACTTTTCCATTATTTTTTATTTCATGAGGTCTTGCCTGTCAAG